CGTCATCCATTGCGACACACACGCTGCGAGTGCCTACCAAGGGGATTCCCGCGACTACATAACCAAAGCCCTAACACGGCTCAACCAGATATTTGCCCAATTCTTGCTCAAGCTCCAGCGACGCATCATGACTGAGCACAGGAAAGGAGCAGGACATGGCGGACGACCGGAGGCGCAGGGGCCTACTCAGAGCGCATCGAAAGAGAAGCCAAGTAAGCACCCAAATGTCTGCCCTCCCAGGCCGAGAGCCACACGGGCTCGCAAGCCCTGCATCACCCACAAGGATGGAAGACGGGCCGTGCGCAGAGGCGCACAGCACTGACACCCTCCGTCCACCCTACAACAGGGACAGGCTCATACACTGCAAGTACTCGAGTCGGTAGTACAAAGATGCCAGCTCTCACCCAGACCTGGGGCTGGAGAGGTAACCGACCCTGGAGCGAAGCCATCTCTGGCCGGGCAATGAGTATGCCACTCACGGGCATCGGCTGAAGCTAAGCAGAACTCACCCGGAGACACTGGTGACCGACACTCCAATACGAACTGCACTCACCTTGCAATTGATAATTTGTGCACTCGTAAGGTAGACCAGCACAGTATAGCCACATCCTCAACCCGAGGTTAATACTCTTTCCTGCCCAACAAGACCATGACAGGAACTCTATGCTAATCCTAACAATCCCGTTACTTATAAGTGGGCACCACTAGTCTTAGCCAGAAAAGCCTGTTTTGTCTTCTTTGCATGGTTCTACGTGTAATGTTATAACCCTAAAAATGTGCACACTAAATGCCACTTACTATGTCAGCTCTGTATTATGCCATTTGTGTCTACTGCTGTTGTGGCAAGACACGACTATGTTCATCTCTGCACAGCAAAAATATTAAATAAAAAAATTTAAAAAAAGATTTATAGTGCAGAGCTCACTAAAAGTTTATCCTCTAAACATTTTAAAAATATATTTATTGAATTTTTTCCCAGGACGATTGTTAGGATGATTGACTCCATCTAGGTTTTCAACCCCCAAAAATCAGTTAAAATTATTATTATGGTTTTGGCCGTCTGCTAGAGAGTAGAGTAAAGCTATGGGAGGAGGCACGGCGGCAGAACACAGGGAGCCTCGGTGCTGGAGAAAAGTTAAAAACGTTTTTTATTTTTTATTTTTTTACTGCCTGGGGGAGTGAGTAAGTAGGACACGATAGTGTTTGCAAGATAGGTTTTGTATTCCTAATGCTGTAGTGTTCCTTTAATATATCCCTTGTATAACTGCTTTGACCTTTAGACTGTAAGCCTGCTGGAACAGATGCACTGTAACCTCTTGTTCCTGTTTCCATACCTTGTTTTGTCACTTGTATGCAAATGTTACCTATTGCTATTACACTGCGCTGCGGAACACGGTCGCTCTTTCTAAAAAATATTGATAGTAAATAAAAAAAAATTCAGTTACTGAGCAAAATAAAAAGGTATAGAAAAATATAACTAAAAGGGAAAAGGCATATGTATAGCCAGGGGACGGATCTCAAATAGACAAGGGACTGTTGGCAATGGCCTTCTCTTCTTATTGGCAAATCGTGTACTGGCTATATTGGTTACTATATATGTATCGCTATATTGATTACTATATTACTATATATATATATATATCGCTATATTGATTGCTATATTACTATATATATCGCTATATTGATTACTATATATATATCGCTATATTGATTACTATATTTCTATATATATATCGCTATATTGATTGCTATATTTCTATATATATCGCTATATTGATTACTATACATATATCGCTATATTGATTACTATATTTCTATATATATCGCTATATTGATTACTATACATATATCGCTATATTGATTACTATATTTCTATATATATCGCTATATTGATTGCTATATTTCTATATATATCACTATATTGATTACTATATTACTATATATATATCGCTATATTGATTGCTATATTTCTATATATATCGCTATATTGATTACTATACATATATCGCTATATTGATTACTATATTACTATATATATCGCTATATTGATTGCTATATTTCTATATATATCGCTATATCGATTACTTGTTATTGATTAATGGGTATTATGTCTCAGGGTCAGGTCATACGAAACATCCAAATGTATCGAAATTAGAGCCTGAAGAACTTGCCGAGATTATAAAGGGATTTATTAATTAAACAGGGAATTGTGGATGTTTAGAAAAGAATCACACCCAGATTACTCGTAAGGTGATCTAAGCCAGTTGTATAAAGCCTCTCGTTAGATAGAAGCATGACACCATGAAGATATATGGCCAAGCTTGGTCCCATTCACCATCTCTAAGAGTGAAGTGGGGGCAAACAGGTCACCCATGGGATCTAATATATCTTCACTGGCTGCAGCCGGCTAAGCATGATGTGCATGGTATATCCCATTTCCTGGAATGCCAGTGGTTGTTTTTATTTTAACCTGTTTGAGATGGACAAATCGTTTTAATGTACGGGGCCCACTGTTCCTGGCTGGCTGAGGGTTATGAGAATTGTAGTACAGTGTGGCCAGAATGCCCTATGGCAGGAGGAAGGCCGCGGATCCTACGTGGCCCTTTCCTATTGCCATAAAGTGATGTTAGGCAATAAGTATTCTAGCAATATGGCTTACAGCACCGTCTGCCCATCCCAGCTCTCGCCCTTGTTTTTATCATTTTTAGAGGTGAGACTCAGCCCCCCGCAGCCCCTCCATAGTGAAAGTAACAGTCAGTATACGTATGGTGGATATAATCTTCCATTTTCCCTTTGTACACCCGGACAGTAATCGGTGGCTGTCACCCCCTCACCCCGGCCCTTGTTGACACAGCCCTGCCCCTGCTTCTGTTTATCTCAGCCTAACCAGCTGTTTGTTCAGCATAATAATATATGAAAAAATTCTGCATCCTGGTAACGTTCCACCAAAAAGAGGACGTACGTGTTGTTGCGATTGAATCAGTGAGATATTTTTTTCCTCTTTGTCTTGTCATCACCTGTACCTGGCGAGTGGGGGAGGTGAGAATCACCTTGCTGATAGTACGTGCTTTGTCAGTATAGGGACCGTACACACTACTCTCTCTCTGAGTCTCCTTTAAGAGATACTTTTTTCTTTAAAATAATGGAAACAAATATATATAGTTTTACATTATTGTGTACAATACCTGTCAAGGCACCCAATTTCTAGGCAAGTCACTAATTTTCAATGTGTCCTAATATTCAGTTTTTTTCTTGTTTTTTTCTACAAGATGAGATCGGGATTTAGGGCCAATGGACACCCCTTTTGTCTCACTCTGATGATTAAATAAAGGGTCATTGAATGATTCCAATGGAGGGTGGTCAATAAAGGGACAAAAATCATATATTATACATATATATTTTATGTTATTTTCCACTAACAATTAGGTTATTTTTCAAGGCAAAATCAATTACTCTGGAAACCAATAAAATGTATCTCAGAATTTAGCACTTTATTCAAGAATAACACCTGCCTATCTCCTTGATATCTGTCCCTCAATATGTGCAGCGTATTTATCTAATCTCAGTTACCAGCACTGTGCTTCGATATACTCGCCGCCATGTGCCAATCAGCGGTAATCACCACCTGCCATTATTAGCGGCATTCTGATCCGCCGATTCTCTCTATCGCAGGTCTCTTGCCATCATCTAATCTGATTTTCGCTGAAACAAAATAATATTACATTTCTTGTCCCTGTTCTCTAAGCACTTATCTTTGTAAATATTGGGTATAATGATATATAAGGAATACTAATAGAGTAAATAAAATATTTTACACATTATTTGATAGCCTTATGATTCTTAGGGGTAACCAAAAAATTTATGGGTAGAACCGTAATCACGAACAGAACAATGGATCAACAGACGGTTTCTGACTGCGGCGTGGCTTGTTCCAGCCCGTGTTATTTTCAGATTGTCTCTCCCCTCCCGACCTTGTTCGTGCATCAGGTGGCATTCTGAGGAGCACAGTGTTAGTTTTACCTAGAGCCAAAATCATCCCTGTAAATTATTAACAGAAAAACAAAGCCGCCAACTGTCATTTCTCTAATCAACTGATAGGGCTGCTTAAAACAGAACGAACGCTGCGGAGAAGAGAATAATCTCATTGAAGACAGACGGGGGTGGCTCAAGGTTTTTAAAGATCAAATAAAATACATTTTGGAGAGCTCACCCCTAACAAGAGCAATGGATGTATTTACCCTCCAACTAAGCAGCACAATGGGCTCATGTTGGTTGTAATATAAATACAGGTGCTACTCGAAAAATTAGAATATCGTGCAAAAGTTCATTTATTTCAGTAATGTAACGTAAAAGGGGAACTAATATATGAGATAGACGCATTACATGCAAAGCAAGATAGTCATGAAAACCCCAAATCCACAATCTCAGTAAATTAGAATATTACATGCAATCAATAAAACAAGGAGTGTACATAGAACAATATCGGACCTCTGAAAAGTATCAGCATGCATATGGACTCAGTACTTGGTTTGGGCCCCTTTTGCAGCAATCACTGCCTCAATGCGGCTTGGCATGGAAGCTATCAGCCTGTGGCACTGCTGAGGTGTTATGGAAGACCAGGATGCTTCAATAGCGGCCTTCAGCTCTTCTGCATTGTTCGGTCTCATGTCTCTCATCTTTCTCTTGGCAATGCCCCATAGATTCTCTATGAGGTTCAGGTCAGGCGAGTTTGCTGGCCAGTCAAGCACAGTAATCCCACGGTCATTGAACCAGGTTTTCGTGCTTTTGGCAGTGCGGGCAGGTGCCAAGTCCTGCTGGAAAATGAAGTCAGCATCCCCATAAAGCTCGTCTGCGGAAGGAAGCATGAAGTGGGTAGATGGCTGCGTTGACCCTGGACTTAATGAAGCACAGTGGACCAACACCAGCAGATGACATGTCTCCTCAAATCAACACAGACTGTGGAAACTTCACACTGGACTTCAAGCATCTTGCAGTGTGTGCCTCTCCATTCTTCCTCCAGACTCTGGGTCCTTGGTTTCCAAATGAGATGCAAAAGTTGCTCTCATCAGAAAAGAGAACTTTTGACCACTGAGCAACAGACCAGGTCTGTTTTTGTTTAGCCCAGGTAAGACGCTTCTGATGTTGTTTGTTGTTCAGGAGTGGCTTGACAAGAGGAATACGACATCTGAAGCCCATGTCCAGGATCGGTCTGTGTGTGGTGGCTCTTGATGCACTGATTCCAGCCTCAGTCCACTCCTTGTGAAAGTCCCCAACACTTTTGAATGGCCTTTTCCTGACAATCCTCTCCAGGCTGTGATCATGCCTGCTGCTTGTGCACCTTTTTCTTCCACACTTTTCCCTTCCACATAACTTTCTATTAATAGAATATTGCACCTTTTCACAATATTCTAATTTACTGAGATTGTGGATTTGGGGTTTTCATGAGCTGTATTGTATACACATATTATTTAAATTGTTGTCTTTCCCATATATGGGTTTATTGGGGTCTCAGTAATCAAGCGTCCTTGTCAGTCATATTTTTGGTATGTGACTGTTTAGTAAACAGACTTCAGACACCCTTCAGTTGGAGTCCAACAGGCCCAATGGCATTATAGCGAGCAGGTACCTCTTCATTCTCGGATCCTCACTGTTGTGCATTGAATGAAGGCGTAGGGAAAATGATCTGATTTGAATTGACGCCAGGTATATCTCGGCTCCCTGTCTTAAATTCATTCCCACAGATTTAATGGCAACAATAGTATCATGTTACTGACAGAGAACTCATGCGGTGCCAAGACACTTTCCATTAGGTAAACTCGATTTATGTCTAAAGAACATTTAAAATATAGGTGAAAGGCTATAACAGAGGGTATGTTTCAAGGGAGCATATTTAAAGTAGATAATGGAAAATTATGCTCTGGGTAGTTTAAAACACAAATAAATAAAATGAATAATAAACATATAAATACACTGATCAGTCACATCTTTAAAACCACCGGCCTAATATCGTGTAGGTCCCCTTGTGCTGCCAAAAGAACTCTGATGCATCAAGGTTTGGACTCCACAAGACCTCTGAACGTATCCTGTGGTATTTGGCCCCAAGACATTACTAACAGGTCCTTTAAATCCTGTAAGTTGCAAGATGGGGTCCCCATGGATAGATTTGTTGTTCCATCACATCCCACAAATTCTCAATCAGATTGAGATCTGGGGAATTTGGAGGACCAGGTAACAAGTTGAACTCTTTTTCATGTTCCTCAAACTATTCCTGAACTATTTTTTTTAGTGTTGCAGCATGTATTATCCTGCTGAAAGAGACCACTGCTATCAGGGAACACCACTGCCACAAAGAGGTCTACATGGTCTGCAACAATCTCTAGGTAGGTGGCACATATCAAAGTAATATCCACATGAATGCCAGGACCCAAGGTTTCCCAACAGAACACTTCCTCCACTGGCCGGCCTTCTTCCCATCCTGCTGCCATCTCTTTCCAAGGTAAACAACGCACACGTACCCGACCATCCAACTCCTCTAAAAGAAAATGTGATTCACCAGTTTTTATATATTATTATGCTGAACAAACAGGCTATCGCGCATACGCAGCAAACCGCCACTCTGTGCCAATCAGCATCTCCTCATTGGGTCAATGCATCTCTATGGGGAGCGTTCAGCATCTCCATGTAGAGGGTGGAGACACTGAACGCATTTCAATTCTGCAAGCTGTGAGATAGGAAGCACCTCTAGTGGGTGTCTGAGTGAAATGACAGTGTTTACTGTAACTGAACGACAAGCTACAGACTCCAGAACCATTACATTAGGCCGTAGTGGTTGTTTTGACTATAATGTCCCTTTAACAAGTGTACATGTTGTCGGGATAGAATGTAATGGATCTTGGCACATACTGCAGTACGAGAAGCAGGCTGGCTGTGTGATTGGTGTACTGCCGGCTTGGAGTCAGTAAATGATTTCTTATCTCTGTACTTAGAGTCACGTTAGATGCAGATTGCGAGACCTTCTCCTGGAGTCTGGTGTTTGAATATTATGATTTAATCACCTGGTTCTGTTTGGACTGATACATGTGTGAGATTAAACATAAAGACATCAAGACACCATAATGTTCAGCATTACTGGAGGCCATCAAAGACCTTTAATTGTTATTGTTTGGGATTTAGGAGAATTTACTATTTCCATGGAACAGTTTTTGAAAGAACTCTTTAAAATAAAATATTTGTAATATTTCTGGAAAAGTTATATGTATCTAATTTAAATGGTTACCCAGTTAAAACAAGTAAAATACCAGTTAAATGACTTATGGCGGAGCTAACTCAAAGCCTTCCTCAGCTCTGACTTTAGCACAAATCTAAACTAAGCCTTAATCTCAAATGTAAGCCAAATCCCAGCAGTGAACACAATTCACACACTAGCATTTACCCAAATCCAAACACAAACATTATCTTAACCTAACATTAAAGGGTCACTAAAGGCAACAAAACAACTTTAGCCTTATGTAGTGGTTTTGGTGTACAAATCATGCCCCATGCAGTCTCATTGCTCATTTTCTGCCATTTAGCCCTAGCCACACCTCCCTGCTTGTGATTTGCACAACCTTCCTAAACACTTCCTGCAAAGAAAGATCTCATTTTTAAATGTTCCTTTATTGTACAATCTGTTTAATTTAGAATGTCTGATCTCCTGCTTGATAGAGTCTGTAAGAGCCTCCTGTGTGTGATTAAAGGAGCACTATAGTCACCTGAACAACTTTAGCTTAATGAAGCAGTTTTGGTGTATAGACCATGCCCCTGTAGCCTCACTGCTCAATCCTCTGCCATTTAGGAGTTAAATCCCTTTGTTTATGAACCCAAGTCACACCTCCCTGCATGTGACTTGCACAGCCTTCCATAAACACTTCCTGTAAAGAGAGCCCTATTTAGGCTTTCTTTATTGCAAGTTCTGTTTAATTAAGATTTTCTTATCCCCTGCTATGTTAATAGCTTGCTAGACCCTGCAAGAGCCTCCTGTATGTGATTAAAGTTCAATTTAGAGATTGAGATACAATTATTTAAGGTAAATTAAATCTGTTTGAAAGTGAAACCAGTTTTTTTTTTCATGCAGACTCTGTCAATCATAGCCAGGGGAGGTGTGGCTAGTGCTGCATAAACAGAAACAAAGTGATTTAACTCCTAAATGACAGTGAATTGAGCAGTGAAATTGCAGGGGAATGATCTATACACTAAAACTGCTTTATTTACCTAAAGTAATTTAGGTGACTATAGTGTTCCTTTAAAGTTCAACAGAGAAATAGATACAACTCCAGAGCAATAGATAGACCTTATAAAGTAAGTAAAACCTGCAACCATTTTGTTTTCAGGCAGGTTGTGTCAGTGACTGCCAGGGGTGGAGTGGCTACGGCTGCATAAACAGAAACAAAAGTGATTTAACTCCTAAATGGCAGAGAATTGAGCAGTGAGGCTGCAGGGGCATGATCTATTCACCAAAACTGCTTCATTAAGCTAAAGTTGTTTTGGTGACCATAGTGTCCCTTTAATGAATAGCCCTGTTGCTATTTGTTACATTTAACACTCACTTTATGGAAGAATTTTAACTGATATTGAAAATGGCATAATATGTTGGGTTTTATTATGTCTTAAAAAAATGTAGGGATAAAAAAAAGACCTTTAGAATAGAATTTAATCCTATCCATAGCGTTGAATGCCCCAAATCTATTCAATGAAGAAAATTTTTTGTACCAACTGTGAATGGCGTTTTGCCGACATTCTCCATTGTTGATGTGTGCCCACCTGTGGTGGCTGTTTTCATTGAAGAAACTGAATGCATATCCTGGAGAGCTAATATACATGGATCCCATAGTCCATTTAACAATGAACTGAAAAGGACACTACAGACTCCTAAAGCACTTTAGCTTGTTAAAAAGCTGTATGTGTAAAGAGTGTGTTCAGTGTTAACGCTAAAAGTTCAGATTTCAATTGAAAATTATACTTTTTTTTTTATAAATTAACCTGGTTACACCTTCTTTGGCTTTCCAGCAGACAACTGGTCCTGTTACTTCCTGGGTTGTTTCGCTCAGCGGAGATAAACTCAAGAGGCAGCAATTGCCCAGAGCACCTGCCTTGCAAAGACTCTCATTGAACTGCATTGGGAAGTCTGTGATTGGACAGTCATAGAAATTATGGGAAGGATTAGAAAGGGAGGGCTCTGCAGACAGGAACTGGAGGCTTTGAAAGCTGTTTTTAGGTATACCCCCCAATGAAAATAAATGCGAAGTTAAATGCATGCAAGATTTAATTTGGGATATATATACTAAACAGTGATTTTTATTTAATTTTCATTTTTGCAGTGGAGTGTCCCTTTCAGTAAACGTTAATACTGAATTTAAGTCCCTCTATAGACATGCTGAACATGGAATCTCTTTATAGATCACTGAACTCAACAACTCTCCTTGGACTTAATGCCTAACTTGGCCATAATTGAATATGAACTCTGCAGAAGAAAATTTGGCTTAGCCGATCTATTTTTTCTAAAGTAGAACATTAAAGTAGAACAGCTCTCTCTATAATTGACATATAAAATGTCAGCTATCCATAGACCTATAGATATAGATATAACCATGAACTCATCATCTCTCTATAGATATAACTATGAACTCATAAACTTTCTATAGATATAACCATAAACTCGTCATCATCTCTCTATAGATTAACCATAAACTCATCTCTCTATAGCTATAAAGGTGAACTCACCAACACTCTATAGATATAACCATGAACTCATCAACTCTCTAGAGATATAAGCGTGAACTCATCGATTCTCTATAGCTATAACCATGAACGCATCAACTCTCTATAGCTATAACCATGAACTCATCATCTCTCTATAGATATAACCGTGAACTCATCATCTCTCTATTGATATAACCGTGAACTCATCAACTCTCTCTATATATAACCGTGAACTCATCAACTCTCTATACATATAACCGTGAACTCATCAACTCTCTTTATAAATAACAGTGAACTCATCAACTCTCTATAGATATAACCGTGAACTAATCGATTCTCTATAGCAGGGTAGTCAACCTGGTCCCTACCGCCCACTAGTGGGAGGTTTGGGATTTCAGGTGGGCAGTGGTGGGTACTGCAAAAAACGACCAGTGGGCCTCAATGGCCAAGGAACAAGGACGGCAGGGCAAATCCTTTCATCTCCCCTGCCAGCCCATGTAGAGCCAGCCTTGCTGTAAGCCCTGTCGAGCTGGTGAGACGATCAAAGATCTCCCTCACCGTCCCGCTGGCACTTAGTTCCAGCAAAGGGAGGTATGGCCCTGGGAGGCTCTGTGTTCCTCCAGCGAGCAGTCCAATCGGAGTGTTGACATGATACAGTGCTGTGCTCGCAGGAGGACAGGAAAGTCAGCCTGCACCTGGAGGAGCTGCAGGCTAAAGTGAACATGCCACCACTGGACCACCAGGGCTTGCAGGATTATGTCCCCCGTCCCTGGTAAAAAGAAGGGAGGGGAGACATTAAGATATAATTTCACATCTCACCCACCTACACACAGCATAGACCATATGCACCACTCACACACACACTACCCCCTCACACACACACACACACACACACTACCCCCTCACACACACACACTACCCCCTCACACAGACTGCCTTCTTACACAGACTGCCTTCTCACACAAACTGCCTTCTCACACAGACTGCCTTCTCACACAAACTGCCTTCTCACACAAACTGCCTCCTCTAACACACTGCCCCCTCACACATGCACAGATTGCCCCCTCACTCACGCATAGACTGCCCATTTCACACATTACACACACAGACTTACCCCTCACACAAACACAAGCTTCTCCCTCACACGCTACACCCCTCACACACCCTTCACCCCCTCACACAAACACTGGCTTCTTCCTCACACACTACACCCCTCAAACACTCTTCGCCCCCTCTCACACGCACTGCCCCCTCATACACGCACAGCATCCTTCACACACACTGTCCCCATACACACATTGCACCTCTCACACTCACACACACACAAACACACACACAGCACCCTTCACACACAAACAGCACAGTTCACACACACGGCACTTTACAGACACACATAGAAAAAAAAGTAGAATAGAAAATAGAAAAAAAGGGAAAAAATAGATAAATGTAAGTATGTATTTAAAAAAAACTCCTTTCTAAAAACTTTTTTTTTTAAATTGGTTACTGTGGCACTGGTGGGCGTTAAGGACATTTTACCATCAACAAAGATACAAAAGTGGACGGTAGGTATTAAAAGGTTGACTACCCCTGCTCTATAGATATAACCATGAACTCATCAACTCTCTATATATATAACGGTGAACTCACCAACACTCTATAGATATAACCATGAACTCATCAACTCTCTATATATATGACTGTGAACTCATCAACTCTCTATAGATATAACCATGAACTCATCAACTCTCTATAGATATAACCGTGAACTCATCAACTCTCTATAGATATAACTGTGAACTCATCACTACTCTATAAATTTAACTATGAACTCATCAACTCTCTATATATATGACCGTGAACTCATCAACTCTCTATAGATATAACCGTGAACTCATCAACACTCTATAGATATAACCGTGAACTCATCAACACTCTATAGATATAACCGTGAACTCATCAATACTCTATAGATATAACCATGAAATAATCATTTCACTATAGATATAACCATGATCTCTTCAATTTTCTGTAGATATAACCATGAACTCAGCAACACTCTATAGATATTACCATGGCCTCTTCAACTGTCTATAGATTGAAACATTAACTAAGATGCCCACTGAATAAAGGCTGGATACAGCAGAGAGTGTGTCAAAGGTATGAGTTCATTAAATTAATCAAATCCTAAATTTGGAATTTTGGGATTTGCCTCTAGAATTATCTATTTTGTTATCAGTTAGGAATAATTTAGGACAACCACAAAATTTACCAAATAAATCAAGGCTTTGTATTGAATCAGAACATAATTAAAAAAAATTATAATAAATAAATCTAACTTTTACTTAATTTTATTTATTTAATTTCTGTGTTACTTAAAATTAGAATCTTTACTATTCACAATTGTAAAACACTTATTGATTATTTTTAATGGCGTAGTTTATAATAATTCTAGCAGAGGCGTGGACATGGGAGTGAGAGGAAATGAAACCCTATCAATATATATGAATAGCGACATTTAATTATTTATATCGTTTTACAGCGAAATTGGCGGCAGCTGCTTTTGGCTGGTGTGTCGCAGGATGGATTAGGGGATTATACATCAGTATAACGGAACCAGTGCAAAAATTAGAAATTATCTCACCTTCTCGCCCAAGCTGTTAAAAAAAAAAAAACGGGGACACGGTAGCCTTTTTTACCTTTGTGCCCCCCCCCCGCCTCAACCCAATGGGTTGTCATAGAAACTAATCTTGCGTAGGAACTGGATTGCACCTTGTCACCGAACATCTGTCAGTTAGAAGGCTGTTATCGTGTTAAATAGAGCCAAGCGTGTTATGTGACTGATGAACTCTGTAAACGGCTTGTGTGTTCAACCCTTTCAATGCCAAAGCCTTGGGCTGACCCTTCAAATTCAGAGAATTTCAAATATGAAGAAAAATAGGCAAATTGGAAACCTTCTCCCAGTGAGCTATGATTCCAGTTTGGCTCCCGTTTAGTAAAATTAGAAATTTATTTTGAATTCCCTGCAGTTAACACTTTAGCGAATAATTCTAAAAGGGTTGATACAGATGAAAATGTGAAACTTTTTACTTATAGACCAACAAACATCAAGCAGAACTCTCGGAGACTCAGGGGTTAAACTCAGGTAGCCCATGGCTGCTAGGGATCACACTGAATTGAAGGAAACTACGTCTATACATTAGACTCTATAATTTAACAATGGGAAAAGTCAACACAGCGTTACTATCTGGAACTAATATTTGCAAAACTACGGTGGAATCAACACAAACTGCGGGAATAAATAGCAAAAACATTTCCCCCCCCCAAAAAAAATCCATCTATTTCTATAGACAGCGAGCAATACTAATTATTCCTTGTCACCCCACCAGCTCCTGACATTGTGTGTGGTATATATCACCTCTTTAAAAGTACCATTCGGATGTAGAATAACTTGAGAAAAGAAATGGATTGATACAATGTGTTTATCAACGCGTTTTACACTTAAAGAGTTAATGCCCTATCAAATCAACATTTACGCTTGACATTTTTTCTGCAAATATATCTGGCACTTATTTTTCCATTGTTCTCATGTATCATGATATATTTTTAAATAACTCAGGGTGTCCCCTAGTGGTCACTTTGCTGAAGTGCAATGAGCTTGTTGAACAGCACAGAGCAATTATTCACTGATACTAGTTTAAGGTGTATATATCACCTGATGCCATATGAGTGTTTACCTTAGTAGGTACAGTACAATACACACTATTTTATTTTATTATTTGCTTTAAACATCAGACGGTATTCAACTGAAAAAGTCCAAGGCAAACTATAATGAAATAATTCACTGGGTTCCCAATACGCACATTGAGCTCAGTCTGAGAACAGTGGCTTTATGGTTTCCTTAATTAAATAGTTATATAGTGAGTTGTGGTGAGTTTTTAATGAATAAATGCATAATAAGAGACAAATTCAAGTCAAGTCTGTTCGTTTTTTTCCCAGTGCGAGCTGAGATTTCCTTTATATTATTTTTGTACGGGGAGATCCTAGGTGATGGTAAAAAGACCCAGGACGCAGATCCCAAGCTGGCTGATACGTCAATTAACAAAAGCCTGGAGAAGCAGACCTATGATTACTGATAGATTGACAGATAAATCTGGTCACCATCAATACAGGATATATTCCTTAAATAGGACTTTACAGGTAAATGTCGGAAGGATCGATTCGTTTGGGGTAGATTAAAAGAAATTTGATTCATTCGTACCAGCTAAAACACAGCAATGCAAAAGTCCAGTATCAACAACGGGATCATTCTATTAAGATTGATGATTGAATTAAAGCCCTTTTAACACTATAACAATTTAGCAGCGATCGAAGGCTGCAGTATTTGTGGATTATGATTGCTCTGGAAACACTGACCCAGACCCGAATGAATTGGAAAAAACTTATCAATCAGATACCAATGCTTTGTGATTAAACCCTAAATCTCTTTAACCCCTTAAGGACACATGACATGTGTGACATGTCATGATTCCCTTTTATTCCAGAAGCTTGGTCCTTAAGGGGTTAAAAAAGTAACAATTATTACACGAGTGACACCCTAACACATCTTGTAGATACTCGTGGTTTACTGCATCCCTTTTTTTGTTTTTACTGTTTTGTGGCACCTATCATTACCCTCTTTACTCTTAACCCTTAAAATGCCAGAGAGAGGGACTCAAAGTAATGCAAACAAAATTCACTGGATACATCTCTGGCCCTCAAGGAGTTAATCCTTACCCCAGCTCATGTGTCACACAGTTTGATTGTGTTTCTCTTTCTTTCTATCCTTCCCTGGTTTATAATTAGGATATTAGTGACTGCATAAATAAACAGAAACCCACTGTCAGTTATCAAGTTAAACATCACATGGTGCAATGATACATATTTGGCAGTGCTCAATGGTAAACAAAATATTTATTGGATGCTACTTGTTATTGGCAAGACCTCCTATCGTACTAAGGAACGCTAAGGATATTATTAACTAAACAGTATATTCTGTGTGTCTGTCTCCCTAATTGTTGGGTCTGCATTTTGTGTCTCTCTCTGTCTTGTTACAATGTCTGACTATCATCTCTCGTTGTCTGTCTGGTTTGTATACCTTGTTGGACTGTCTGTGTCTTTTTTCTGTATCTTTCGTGTCAGTCTGTCTGACTAATCTGTCTGTCTGTCGCTCTCTCCTTGTATGTCTTGTGTTTCTGGCCTGTCTGTCGTGTCTGTCTATCTGTTTGGTCTGTACATCTTCTTGCTCTGTCTTTCTCTCATTCCTATTAGTCTCTCAGACTAATCAGTTTGTCTCTTTCTCTGTCTGTCTGTCTGACCCATCCGTCTGTCCTGTCGGTTAATAAATATGTTTAACTTGTGAGAAATAAGACACAGTAGCGCAGTTTATGATTAAAGAGCTCTTTATTTTTGCTGTAAACATGACTAGTACGAAGGCTATGAGTTCAGGCCCCTAGTCACCGCACAGCAGCGGATGGTGACTGGGAGAAGATTTTGTGGTCTGCCTGTTGGCTGGCTGTGATCTTCCCTAGTGTTGGATCCTGCGGATGGACTGGATCTGGTTAGTGTGAGCTTGAGTGCTGTATTCATTGTAGTTTCTGTATTCGCCATTGTGTCTGTCTCTCTCCAGCACATATTGGTACCCCCTGTATCCGGGGTACTGGTATGCAACCCAGCTGCATGATGGGAAAACGATAGAAATTATTAGCATTTTAACACATGGGGGAGAGAGGGGTATCCACTAAACGTGGAATTGTGGCCCGCAAACAGCTATCTTGCAGAATTTAAGCTAAAGTGACTGAGGAGGGAAAAAAAATTATTTGAACTATAGTTTTTTCAACCTCTTTAGTAAAGGACTCAGGACATTGGGGAGTGGATGACAAATGCACTAAATTGTCTGTGAATGAAATACCTAAACTCTCATATATTTATACACATAGCTGAGGGCTTGGTGGAAATCCGTATAAATCACTTATTCACGTAATATACGTGTAACTGCTATAGGATTGCTGCTGCTAAGAAATCAAATATAGTAACAAGCACACCCGCTGTCTGCATTAAGTACCTTTGATCCTAGAGAGACCGAAGGGTGTGGTTGTTATAAAGATTAGATTATTTGTGAATATATAAAAGAAAAATGTCTGTTAACAGTAAATTCAGGGAAAAAGCATTCAACACAATATCATTGCAATATCAAGAAAATCAGAATGGCTATTTTCCCCCAAGGAGAACACAGATTCATAACACAGATGCAGTTTGCAATATGTATATATTATTTTTCTTTGTTTAAAAGTCGAAATTGCCTTAAAATGGCCTAACGTTTCCATTGGAAGATTCTGTCCTCTACTGATTTAGGACACACCCATTACGCCTTAACAGCTGTACCACCCCAGTAACTTGATATTCTGAGAGTCCCTCGCATCTGGCGATACGGATACTTAGAATTAATATTTTTATGAAACCAGTCACAACCCTTCAGCTTGCTAAAAAAAATAAAGATATTTAATGCAATCTGCAGGGCTGTGGTTGTTGTAAAGATTCATTTACGAACTGATTAAGTTTCAAACTAAATGGAAAAAGATATTTAAAAGGAATTGAGTTTATTGGCAATTAACTCCCATGATGCTTTGAGGCTCACTGTTTCGTACTTACGCGCCAGAGTTGACTTTGACAGAGGCGACTTCTTTAGAGCACCAGCCCATGGCCTGCAGAGAGGGGTAGTCGTCACATAGCTCAAACTTGCGACCCTGGAAGGTTTCTCCTTCGTATAAGGTTACTTTGCTGTCACTGTGGTTCTGCGGCGTGGAAGAGGTAAAATTGGTATATTTGTGAGAACAGAAACAATAGCAAGGGAGCCATGAAATATCCAAGGAATCATGAGACATTGTAACATTGATTGGCTATTAGTGGACACAATGAAAAAACAAACTAATGTTAAATTCCTCGTTTAATGAATAAACTATTTAGACATTGAAGCCGCACTCCATGTATCCTATATGTAAATATCTCTTGGAAAAAGCAACATTCTGTTAACAAACATAAACACTATGACATTTTAGAAAAACTGTTTTTAAACTGTTCTATTTTTCAGGAGCTAAAGGCAGCAACGAACTGATAAAGAGAAGGGGAACTGTTAAGGGAAAAGAAAAAAGAACCATAAAGATTAAAGGCGCGTTGACCTTTAACACACTCCAGTTACTCTCGGATTAGAGAGACGCAGTGCGTTCTGCTAACTTAAAGCACCCAAGAGATAATAGAACAGGTGGAGGAAGTGATGTTAGAGAGTAAACAGCACGATAATAGGAGAACAAGCTCTAGATAATAAATCGCTGCCATGTGTGAGGATAATGAGAACGGCGGTAATGTGATTGTCCTAGATATAGGTTTACACGGCGAGGGGACACTCACTGCGCATTTCACAGGACGGAAGGAGAGAAGATGCTCGGTTCTGTAGCCGCTGTTTCCGCTCCATGCCTCCCAGCGAGGGTAATCGCCCTTCTCCAGGATAAACTGCTGCCCCTGGAATTCAGGGTATTCAAATCCTACCCACCTGTAAAAGTAAAGTTACTGAATGTGTTAGCGTGGCCTGTTCTTCCCTTGTGTGAGGGCATATCATTATTATTATTGTTATTAATATTATTAGATTTGTGCACAGCGACAATATTTGTCTTGGCGGTACCATTTCCCCAAAAATAGGAAAATTTCAGGACACCTGAATATAGGTTCAGATCGACAGAATTATGTAAACGAGATTCCGATTCCGAAACGGAATCAGAAAAACAAATAAGAACATTAAAATGGCCCAATCTGTGTGCTCCAAACTCTATACATAGTATCTTGCCGTACACTGACAGGAGCATCTTCCAACCATTTCGGTCACAGATCAAATGACAATAAGTAAACAATTGACGGAAAAACAGGAGGCGAATTCACAAAACTAATCTGTATTTATACATTTCGAACTTCTCAATTGATCTGTGAATAAAATCACCATTTAGTGACTGTCCCAGAGCTATCAATCATTCTTTTTTCTATCAGTCATCAAATTTTTTTTTGGGTGCCACAAATCACGAACCGACCTCAACATGTTCGGGAAATTAACCAATCAATTTAGTTAACAATTCCTATTAAAGTCTTACTGTTATTATAATTATTATATATTGATTGATTTATATATCTCCAAGTCTAACTATAATTATATATTGATTGATATAATGATAATAAAGTCTAACTATTATTGTTATATATTGATTTATATATCTCTCGCCAAGTCTCCAATATCACACAGGTAGTACAGGGCGTATAGTGATCAGTGAGTGTGATATCACACAGGTAGTACAGGAAGTATAGTGATCAGTGAGCGATATCACACAGGTAGTACAGGAAGTATAGTGATCAGTGAGCGATATCACACAGGTAGTACAGGATGTATAGTGACCAGTGAGCACGATATTACACAGGTAGTACAGGACGTATAGTGCTCAGTGAGTGTGATATCACACAGGTAGTACTGGGCGTATAATGATCAGTGAGCACAATATTACACAGGTAGTACAGGGCGTATAGTGATCAGTGAGCGATATCACACAGGTAGTACAGGACATATAGTGATCAGTGAGCAATATCACACAGGTAGTACAGGATGTATAGTGACCAGTGAGCACGATATTACACAGGTAGTACAGGACGTATAGTGCTCAGTGAGTGTGATATCACACAAGTAGTACAGGACGTATAGTGATCAGTGAGCGATATCACACAGGGAGTACAGGGCGTATAGTGATCAGTGAGTGTGATATCACACAGGTAGTACAGGGTGTATAGTGATCAGTGAGCACGATATTACACAGATAGTACAGGGCATATAGTGATCAGTGAGCACGATATCACACAGGTAGTACAGGGCGTATAGTGATCAGTGAGCGATATCACACAGGTAGTACAGGATGTATAGTGATCAGTGAGCGATATCACACAGGTAGTACAGGATGTATAGTGACCAGTGAGCACGATATTACACAGGTAGTACAGGACGTATAGTGCTCAGTGAGTATGATATCACACAGGTAGTACAGGACGTATAGTGATCAGTGAGCGATATCACACAGGTAGTACAGGGCGTATAGTGATCAGTGAGCACGATATTACACAGGTATTACAGGACATATAGTGATCAGTGAGCACGATATCACACAGGCAGTACAGTACGTATAGTGATCAGTGAGCGATATCACACAGGTAGTACAGGACGTATAGTGATCAGTGAGCGATATCACACAGGTAGTCCAGGGCGTATAGTGATCAGTGAGCACGATATCACACAGGTAGTACAGGACGTATAGTGACACAGGTAGTACAGGATATACAGTGAGACTCACGGGCCATTCTCCACCTTGATGGAGCGGATTCTGCGGAAACCTCGATCCATGATATTGGAGCATTCGATAAGGAACTCACATCTCTTTCCCTGAAAGTTTTCTTCCTCCCACACGGTTACCTTCCACTGGCCCAGAGTCTCCATTGGTTGGGTGCTCATTGTGATTCTCTAAGGAAGAAGAGGAATATACTTTGTTCACAAAGCGACGAGTGGTCTTATTCTGCACGTGTCAACCCAGTTTAGCAGAAGTCGTTAGGTATTTGTTCAGAGATGTCACAGCCAAGTTCCAACTGCCAGACCTCAGAAGTCGCCAATAAGCCAAGATATAAAGAATATGCTTTATGTATCACAGATGTCTCAATAAATAATAGTGATTAACGGTCCCGTGAAGCTGGTACATCGAGACATTATGGAATGCTAATGCTGAAGGATTCTGAGAACAGGTTTGAAGAAGCCAAATTTAGACCTGACTTCTCTTTTTCGATAAGTAGCTATTTACTGCTATTCACGGGAAAACGGCAAGATTTAGACTGCAAAAGCTAAACTGTATAAATTCTCAAATTCAGTTAGATTGGTCTAAAACTTTCTATCCCCCAGTCCCCAGTTAGGAAAGCAAGCTTTGCCAAGATTGTAACCCCACAGCTGAATACACAAAATAAAAAAAATAAAAAATACTTCTCAGAAGATCAATTCACTCTAAATGTAACCCAAAACAGGGGGAAGAAGGCCATGCGCAATCTACCTCTCCTCAGAAAATCCATCCTATGGCATAGAAGGGGTAAATATACTCCAGAAATATCCCGAGTATTAGTGATCTGTACATCAGAAGCAAAATGTTCATCTATTCAAAGCCATTTTATCCAGAACAGCAGAATCAAACACATGGGGATTTATTCACTAAATGGTGAATTGAAGTTATCGGTAGAATATATTTGCTATATTTATTCTAAAAGTAAACATAATGGGATCATATCGTTTTATTCCAGATTCACTTTGTTGACCTGAAGTTTGTATATTATCAGGATTATTCACTAAAGTGAGAATTTAAAGTGAATTTCAAATTTGAGCGGAAACACAGCTGAGTTCGAGGATTTCTCCCAGTTTGGCTACTTTGACACAAGTTTGAAATACACTTTGAATTCTCACTTTAGTAAATAACCCTGTATGTTTTCAATTCACTGCAATTCCCCAAATATTTAACTGTGTGTGTAGTGTCGGAGTCCAAAATGAGTTAAAAGTGAATTTCATGTTTTAAGTCAAAGAACCCGAAGAGGTAAACATTCAGACTTATTTGTCCTATAATGTGAATTCACGTTGGATTCCTGGCAATTCATATGTTAGTGAGTAACCCTGTCAGTTTTAAGTTCCCAGTTTCCACAAACCCAGAGACGGACACATCCAGCCACAGACCTTACCTGAGAATGCAGTATTAGGGGCTGAAGCGTGATGGGCCATTGGGGCTTTATATATGGAAATCTACACATTGGAATTGATGAATCGGCAGTTCAGAGCTGCACACTCAGCATGGTTGTGGCCTCACTAGAATAGAACGTGTGTGCGAGTGGGTGAGAGGGCCTGCAGGAGGGCAGACATTTCAATCGCTGTGTATCCTCATTGGCCTATTATAAAGAGGATCATGGAAGACAATAGAAAGTGCTGCTACATGTTTGTCCAGGATCAGACACAATGGACAGGAGAATGACGCAATCACAGTCTATTTTATTCGATATATCCCAGCTGTGTAATGATACAGTAACAGGGAGCCGGGGTTGGATGGAGGGGAACGTTTAGAATAAAGCAAAGCGATGGTTAAAGCTGGGATCGCTACAGGTTTCAAGATGAGTCTCTAATTTACTATAAAATTGGGCACTTGGACAAATTTGCACATATTATCTCAACAGCGTCAGGCTGAAAACAAAAACCCCCAGGATGAATGAACAGATTCACATAGGCAGATTCTCGGGTAGTCCCGGTGAATGAGCAGTTTCTCATGGTCTCAGGGTGAATAGGCAGATTCTCAGAGTGAATGGACAGATTCTTATTGTGCATGAGCAAATTCTCTGGGTAAATGGACAGATTCTCAGGGTGAATGAGCAGTTTATAAGAGTAAATAAGCAGATTCTCAGAGTTAATGGGCAGATTCTTAGGGTGCATGAGCAAATTCTCAGGGGGAATGAGCAGTTTATCAAAATAAAAGAGCAGATTCTCACTGGATTTTCAGTGTCTTGACATGAATAGATAGGTTTTCATAGTGAATGGGCAGATTCTCAGGGTGAATCTGCAGATTCTCAGGGTGAATAAATGATCCTAAGGGTGAATGGGCAGATTCTCAGAGTGAATAAACAGATTCTCAGAGTGAATTCTCAGGGTGCTAAAGGGAATGGGCAGTTTCTCGGGGTGACTGAGTAGATTCTCCGGCTTTATTGGCAGCTGATTCGAGGTAAGTCATGCAGGAGAAGGTCGTTGACCAGTGGTGTTATGAAGGGCTTTGTGTGTCTAATGACAGAGGGAGATATCCATTAGTTACAGTGCTGTACGTTCTGTGATCCATGTGTTGGTCACAATGTATCCTACAATTTGTTTTAAATGAATACGATAATACAGACTATGAATTCGGTCCTTCCTATTCAATAAAGGTTTGGGGTGTGTAATGGCCGGCTACCAGCATTCTGAATTGCAGATCCTGGGGTTCCTCCGTTATTCTCATATACTTGAGTTGGGTTGTTCCAGCTAACAAGCTGTCTATACACACACTGAATACTCTAATTTGATGTTGTGAATGTACGTGAATCACAGTAAGCATTCATACACTGAAATATCAGATGGTTAGCCCAGAGGACAGACATGCTGCTCATTTCACACTGTATAAATATAATCCTGGCGTACGGAGCACCAAATGGCACATTAATGACATGACCATGGCAGCGATCAACTCTGGTGGCCGCCCATAATGGGGTGCACCTCCCAGCATGCATTCACCCCAGAATGACCGGCTGCCCACAGTTTGATGCTCTCGAGAATGGGCATAAACACCCTGTATTTTCGCCAGATAATAGTGCAATCGATTGGAAAAAAAGGCAAAAATTAACCATCTGGAAAAAATCTCCAATTCAGCTTTTGTCATAGCTGTATCAGACTTCATTTTCAAATTTAGATTTTAATTCACTGCAATTCTGTGTTCATTGGATGCCATTGGGTAAACCTACAGTAACAGTAATACATGTGGTCACTGCACCCCCTGCTGGCCAAAGTGGAAAACACACCAGTGGTCCAATGCATTTTTAACCCCTTAAGGACCGAAAGCAATTTACTCCATTATCACAACATGTTCTTTAGGTTCCCGTACCATCCAGGAAAGCCCTCAATATTGAAAAATGGAAAGTAAGAGCAAAGTGTCAATTCATTGACAGAAATATCAGTATTACATCTGAAATTACAACATATTCTACTATCTGGGCATCGGGACTGAGGAAACTAATGTTACTCATGACGCTCCCAGAACACGCCCACCCAGTTATTACACTGTACGAGTAGTTATTGCAGCGTGTGATACATGCGTGGCTAGTTATTACAGTGTACGATACATGTGTGGCTAGTTACTACAGTGTACGATACATTTGTGGCTAGTTACTACAGTGTACGATACATTTGTGGCTAGTTATTGCAGTGTACGATACATGCGTGGCTAGTTATTGCAGTGTACGATACATGTGTGGCTAGTTACTACAGTGTACGATACATTTGTGGCTAGTTACTACAGTGTACGATACATTTGTGGCTAGTTACTACAGTGTACGATACATGCGTGGCTAGTTATTGCAGTGTACGATACCTGCGTGGCTAGTTACTACAGTGTACGATACCTGCGTGGCTAGTTATTGCAGTGTATGATACATGCCTGGCTAGTTACTACAGTGTACGATATATGTGTGGCTAGTTACTACAGTGTACGATACATACCTGGCTAGTTACTACAGTGTACGATACATGCGTGGCTAGTTACTACAGTGTACGATACATACCTGGCTAGTTACTACAGTGTACGATATATGCGTGGCTAGTTACTACAGTGTACGATACATACCTGGCTAGTTACTACAGTGTACGATACATACCTGGCTAGTTACTACAGTGTACGATACATGCGTGGCTAGTTACTACAGTGTACGATACATGCGTGGCTAGTTATTGCAGTGTACGATACATGCCTGGCTAGTTAGTACAGTGTACGATACATGCCTGGCTAGTTATTGCAGTGTGTGATACATGCCTGGCTAGTTAGTACAGTGTACGATACATGCCTGGCTAGTTATTGCAGTGTGTGATACATGCCTGGCTAGTTACTACAGTGTACGATACATGCGTGGCTAGTTATTGCAGTGTACAATACATGCGTGGCTAGTTACTACAGTGTACGATACATGCCTGGCTAGTTATTGCAGTGTGTGATACATGCGTGGCTAGTTATTACAGTGTATGATACATGCGTGGCTAGTTATTGCAGTGTACGATACATGCATGGCTAGTTAATACAGTGTACGATACATGCCTGGCTAGTTATTGCAGTGTGTGATACATGCGTGGCTAGTTATTACAGTGTACGATACATGCGTGGCTAGTTATTGCAGTGTATGATACATGCCTGGCTAGCTACTGCAGTGTACGATACATGCCTGGCTAGTTACTACAGTGTACGATACATGCGTGGCTAGTTACTACAGTGTACGATACATGCGTGGCTAGTTATTGCAGTGTACGATACATGCCTGGCTAGTTAGTACAGTGTACGATACATGCCTGGCTAGTTATTGCAGTGTGTGATACATGCGTGGCTAGTTATTACAGTGTATGATACATGTGTGGCTAGTTATTGCAGTGTATGATACATGCCTGGCTAGTTACTACAGTGTACGATACATGCGTGGCTAGTTATTGCAGTGTACGATACATGCGTGGCTAGTTACTACAGTGTGTACGATACATGCCTGGCTAGTTATTGCAGTGTGTGATACATGCGTGGCTAGTTATTACAGTGTATGATACATGCGTGGCTAGTTATTGCAGTGTACGATACATGCATGGCTAGTTAATACAGTGTACGATACATGCCTGGCTAGTTATTGCAGTGTGTGATACATGCGTGGCTAGTTATTACAGTGTACGATACATGCGTGGCTAGTTATTGTAGTGTATGATACATGCCTGGCTAGCTACTACAGTGTACGATACATGCCTGGCTAGTTACTACAGTGTACAATACATGCGTGGCTAGTTACTACAGTGTACGATACATGCGTGGCTAGTTGCTATAGTGTACGATACATGCCTGGCTAGTTACTACAGTGTACGATACATGCGTGGCTAGTTACTACAGTGTAAGATACATACCTGGCTAGTTACTACAGTGTACGATACATGCGTGGCTAGTTACTACAGTGTACGATACATGCGTGGCTAGTTATTGCAGTGTACGATACATGCATGGCTAGTTACTACAGTGTACGATACATGCGTGGCTAGTTATTGCAGTGTACGATACATGCGTGGCTAGTTATTGCAGTGTACGATACATGCGTGGCTAGTTACTACAGTGTACGATACATGCGTGGCTAGTTACTACAGTGTACGATACATGCGTGGCTAGTTACTACAGTGTACGATACATGCGTGGCTAGTTATTGCTCTAATCCCCCATTACAGTACCTAACCCCCACTACAGCCTCTAACCCCTCACTACAGCACCTAATCCCCCACTACAGCCCCTAACTCGCACTAGAGCATATAATCTCTCACTACAGCCTTTGACCCTCCACTAGAGCCTCTAACCACTTACTACAGCCTCTAACCCCCCCACTACAGCACCTAATCCCCCACTACAGCCTGTAACCCGTCACTACAGCCTCTAACCCCCCCACTAAAGCACCTAATCCCCCACTACAGCCTCTAACCCCTCACTACTGCCTTTAACCCTCCACTAGATCCGCTAACCCCTCATTACAGCCTCTAACCCCACTACAGCCCCTGACCCCCCACTACAGCCTCTAATCCCACACTACAGCACCTGACCCCCTGCTACAGCCTCTAACCACCCACTGCAGCCCCTATTACCCACTACTGCCCCAATCCTCCAATCCCCACTACAATGTCTAACCCCCCACTACTACCCACATCCACCACTACAGCCCCTAACCCCTTACTACAACCCCTAATCACCCACAACTGCCCCAATTCCCCACTACAACTCCCAACTCCCAACTACAGCCTCTAACCCCCCACTAGAGCCCTAACCATCCACTACAGCCTCTAACTTGGACTAGACATTTGTAAAGTGGAGGTATTAGTAAGATGACCTCGCCCACCTGGGGCACCAAAAAAAAAAAAACTGCACCCAGGCGTCTGTGACTCCAGGATCGGCCCTGTTAGTGGGTATGTTAATATGCAACAACAACATGCAACGCATTTCTAAATTTGTAAATAAAATATCCAGCCCGTGGCGTTACCTTTAATAATTAGTACAACTGCAAACTGGAAAATTAAACACACAATACAATAACAGGCCCTACCAGGTCCCCACC